CCAAGACCTACCTCCATCTGCCTCCCATACCAATCCTCTCTTGAACTTCCTAATATCGAACCCCAGCCTACTATCGCTGATCCACTCCAAATTCTTTCTCTCACCAATGATCGGAATCGTCGTCTACGTCGGGCTCGCATTCAACTACAACGGATGTGCACTCCTCCACTACCTCCTACAAACCCACCTCCCCTTCCTCCCACCGTTCGACCCTTCACTCTGGCCGCCGTTATTCAACTTCTTCACCCTCTCTGGAAAACTTCACAACATAGACTCGCTCCGAAACTTCTGGTCGGTGGGCTGGCACTCCATGTTCAAACGCACATTCTTTTTCTTCGGCGTAAAACCCTACCTCGTCCTCCCACTCCCTAGGGTAATGAAGAAGATATTGAGCGTTCTCACAGTCTTCGCTATCAGCGGACTCATCCATGAACTCGGATTACGCATGGCTCTCTCCCTCGACCACCCTGAGGAACTCAAACTCGGAAGAAATCTCCTAGGTTGGCTCAGGACGAAAACCTTCTGGTTCTTCGAGTTGCAGGGTGTTGGCATCATCGTTGAGAGTGCTCTGCGGCTTAGAGGAACGCTCGGAATGTTGTTCACCATCTTTTGGCTTACAGCTACAGCTACCTTGGTCGTAGATGACTGGTATGTCTTTCACACATACTATAACCGTTATTCGTCGATTAATGAGGTGAATTGAAACAGGCTCGGACGTTTACACTACAAAGAAATCATGCCGCCAGCTTGGGAATGGAAAGACTTTGTGTTAGACTACCTGCACGCTTTTTCGACATGAAGCATTGCGACGATTCGCAGCATCAGTACGATAATGATCTGTACAATAACTATACGTCTCACATTCTAGCAGCTGCAAACATATGTGTGCAACAAGCTTTTTCATTGCAATATAGCAAGAATAGTTTTCCTACATCAAACTTGAACGGCCTCCGATCTCCATGCTCGCTTCTCCAGAGGGAAGGCCGCCTTCGCTACGCCCTGAAATAAATTGATCGTATCTACAAACATTGTAAGACGAGTTGAGTAGCAAAATTCGAATTCCAGCATGAGAAACTCACATCCGCTTCAGACGAAGCATTTCGTCTTTCGGAACAGACGGACGGGTGGTCTTCAATGCACGCTCTAAGCTGATAGTCGTGATGTAATGCGTCGGTCGTATCGTATCCTTCGGAAGAGAGTGGTTTGCTCGAGAGTCTTTCCTTGCGCTCTCCACTACGGATGCGACCTGAAATATGGCAGCATGAGCTCACGTGCCGCGACAGGGAAGGATGAAGAGAACACACTCGTTGGGCCAGCTGAGACTTTTGTTGCCTCGTCAAAACCTTCGAATCGTTCGGGCTCCCTCCAAACACCTCAAACTGGACCTCGTCGTCTTCTCCCTCCTCTTCCTTCCCTTTACCTTTCTCATCCGATTGGGCGAGGGAGCTCTGGATAGTATCGAGATGTGCGTTGTAGATGAACGCTTGAAGGTCTGCGCCAGAATACCCTTCGGTCCGTGAGGCGTAAATGGAGAGATCGACGTCTTCAGCCAGCTTCACTTTACGCGAACATGCGACTAGGATCTATCAACAGTGAAGCAACTACTTCAGTTTCCCGATCGATCCTGAAGATTGAGAGAAGAGTCACATCAAGACGGTCCTCATAGTTGGGCATATCACAAATGATGGACTTGTCCAGGCGGCCCGGACGTAAGAGAGCAGGATCGATCAGGTCTGGACGACTATTGAAATCACTTAGGTCTGCCATTGGATGATGAACTAGATAAAACATCTACCTAGTGGCAGCAAGGACGTAGACGCCTTCCAAACCTTCCGCACCGTCCATCTGGGTCAACATTTGGTTGACAACTCTGTCAGTGACCCCCGTGCTGTCATGACCTCTAGAAGGGAACGGAAGTGAGAACAGGCTCCATCCTAGGAGAAGCACCTACCGCTTAGGTGCAATAGAGTCAAACTCATCAAAGAAGAGCACACAGGGCTTAGCCGCAGTTGCACGGTCAAACAACTCGCGAACTGAAGCCTCGCTCTGTCCGATATACTTGTTTAGCAGCTCCGGACCCTTCACTGAGATGAAGTTAAGGCCGCATTCTTTGGCAACTGCAGAAGCCAACAATGTCTTCCCGCAACCAGGATAGCCATACAAAAGTAGCCTAACACGACGTTAATATAACGTAATATTCACCTGAATTGAAGTCGAACCCAGAACGCAGTCGCAGAGGAGATTGAGCAAAAATTCGCGCATATTTCGTTGGGAACTCCAGCGTTTCTCGAACGACCTGTTTCGTCTCCCGCAAACCTTACTTTCTCTTTACCGTGAAACTTCGACTAGGGCAAGAAGACGGACCTCCGATGTCTCCCCATTGCACATCTGACTTTTGCAACTTGACATTTTTCAACGAAACCGGGACAAAGTCTTTTTGTGCTGCCTCGAAGTCCCGCAGCTCCAGCTCAAGGTGCTGTGACACATTCTGATTTTGCTTCAACACTGCATTTAGCTTTAAAGTTGCACGGGAAGACCGGTAGCTCACATTTGAACCACAGTCTTGTAGGCTGCGTATCGCGGATTCGTGAACAGCGCGATCTATGACATCCCTGATATCGGAAGGGAGATAGCCTTCGGTAAGCTCAACAAGTCTGGACTGGTCGAGTTGGCTTATCTCAAGGTCGCTAGTAGATGCTGCCTTGTATTCCAGCAGCGATGTGATCACCTATCACAACCAGATGAATGCTGACAGTAACAAGATGTGACATTGTTATACCTCTCTGCGACCGTTCCTATCCAAGCTGGCTAAATTCACCTTAGTCCTCCAGATGAGACTGCTGGCTAGACACTTGTTTAGCGAACTTTGGCTGTCCGATGTGGCCAGCAGGATAATAGCGAAGTTCTTCACGTATTCCTCAATGTAATGCAGCAACACTTGCGTCAAGGTCCTTGTTCGTGATTTGTCCGCGTGCTGCAATCACATTAGCAATCAAAGTCGTGATTGAAAGTGGAATAATACCTCTAGCTCAGCCGGACACAACTTGTCCAAACCGTCAAATATGAGAAGTGTTGGGGCATGCCATGCCGCTTCATCGAACAACTCGATTATGCGGTTCCGCACGACGCTCATTCGTTCTTCAGTATACTTTGACAAATCCACGTGCATCTTGTCTTGTAACGCTGTCACTCAGTATTTCTGGATGCCGAAAGGAAAGTACCGACAAGTCAGCGTGCGAAGATCTTTGGCCATCGAAGTTGCAAACGAAGAACAGAACGAGGTTTTCCCGCTTCCAGGAGGACCAGTAAGGAGAATGCCATAGGCTGTAGCAGTGTCAGCCAACAATCTGAAGTTTGAAGAGAAGGATACTTTTATCAGCTTTCCATCCGCTGAACCACAGTCGCCGTTCCACGACAGATACCACCAAATGCGTCGTACAAGCTTTCATTTGCTTTTCTACTCCTCCAAGTTTCAGTATCGGATGCTCGTCCTGCTTGAGCTTATCCTTCCAAGCTGGGTTTGGTTTAGACGTCGGTGGTATCCGCACAAATCTCGCAAGCTCCAAGTCAGAACCTTCTCCCTCCAGCCCCAGCCACATGCTCCAGCCCCGTCTCTTTGGAGACTTGAGAAGAACATGCCACCTAGGCACGTCCCGATGAGCTTTTACGCGAACAGTCAAGCCTGGAGGTACCCATTCTTCCGGGACAGAGGGCACGGGTTTGGAAGGTGGGGCTGAACGAATGGTGGGGTCTGTTCCATTGACGGAAGGAGGAAGGGAATGATTGGACGAAAAAGGCGGACTCGAGATCTGCAGAGCCTTGCGAGGTCGGATAACGAGAGCTGCTTCTTCTTGGGGAAAGGCTTTGATGAAGATTTTGAAAAATTCTTCATCCACCAATGCAACTGTTTTATCCTTTTCCTCAGGTTCATCTAGCTCCCTCTTCAACTCCGTGAGGGAGAATGAGTCGAGGCTGTCCGCAAGGCATTCTAATGTTGAGTCGGCAATGACGAAGCGGAGTAGGTGCCTGGAAACCTCTTTGATATGCCTCTCACGGTCTTCATCCGTATCGTCTGCCTTCGCTGGGTCTAGGACCTCATCTTTGGACGAGGTCGCGCGAGTGCGAGGAGCAATGTGGATCTCTGTAGAGGGGCCAAGACGAGAGACGGTTGTTACGCTGGTCGAGGGAGGATCAGTCGAGTCTACGGCCCGATTTAAGCACATAGACAGCGAGTGAACCACGGTCTCCCACCTACTCTGAACCTGCAACGCACATTCTTGGCTGCCCATACTCCAACCGTACTCCCAGGCTTTACAGCTCGCACCTGGCTCAACAAGGTATCTTCCAGCAAACCAGCATTCGATTCCTGTATATAATCTGAGATGTTATAGTGGCATAGAAGGAGAACACACCAGAATTTCCCAATCATCGACTGAGAGAGGATCCACCGAAACTGATTTTGCAACAGGGATTGAACGATGCAGCGTAATCGTGACCTGTTCACACTATGAGTAGAGATATAAGCTGACATGCTGGTTACCCACATGTTCACCATCGCCTAAAGCACTGTCGTTTGCCAAAGCAGAGTCAATTTCGATGTTCTCTACATTCCCAAACGCAGCTGTTGAGCCAAGTCCAGTCCATCCGACAAAAAGAGGCTCTCGATCCTTTCCCCGTGGTGTGAGCTGTACTATCAAAGACTGTGGAAGGATGTTGCGTTGCGAAAGAGTTGCTACAATCGATTTTGGAAGGTTGACAAGTGAAGACTTGAGTTGTGGAGTGCAGAGAATTGTACCACTTCGCGACATGTTCCTAAAACCAACTCAGTACACTCATATACGGTGGCTATGGACGAACTCTTCTTTTTACCCTGTTGCCAGCTCTTGCTTTACTTTGGCAGTTCGGCTTTGAACAGTAACCGACACGACTGTCGCAGAATTCAGCGTAGAACGTCATAAAAACTTAATAAGATGGTAGTTGAGGATCTCGACAACAAGCTGGCCCCTTTAGCTCAGTGGTAGAGCATCGGATTGCAGTTTGCTGATTATCCGCGTGTCACTAGTTCGATCCTGGTAGGGGGCTGACTTTTTGCCACTTCCCTTCCTAAACAGGAAAAGTGACAACTTTGCTTTGGCTTTGGACTCAAACTCTTTCATGACAGTAGTCAAGAGTCGAGAACTTATCTATGTAAGATTAAAGTAATTCAACTTTTATCCATCTCTCTTTCCTCGCTTGGTGGGCCTAATTCTTTTCTATTCAACAACAACGACTCAGAGCTTTTCATAGCATTCGAAATCACATAGGTAGTCAAGGAATACTATTACGGACAATGGATCTCCAGCTTCAATGTTGGGTTTCCGCCTAAGGCCCCTCTGGCACCACCATTTCAAAAAAGGAACGACATAAAAGGCCTATCCAGGGCTGGAAGCCACAGACTTTCCGCAATGTTGAAGCTGGAAGGAATGTTGGATCTCTACAAATGAGATTTTGGCTTGGGCTAAAATGTCCCCAATCACACAAACGTGAGCACGATGAAATAGATGATAAAGTGATTCATTGCAATGCATACAAACATACCTAAAATGTCCCCAATCACACAAACGTGAGCACGATGAAATAGATGATAAAGTGATTGGGGAAAAACGGAAGAGACTTTGCAGGTGTTCCTTTATAGTACTGGTCTTGCGGTGAAGTGCCACATGTTTGCCTCTGCTTCGGAACGCGCGGCAAACACGGCAAACACCGATCACGTCCCGTTGTTTTCATAACCCATTTCCAACACTACAGAATTCCTTTCTCTGACAAGGGGAGGAGCTCGGTGAATCAGTTTTGGATAAAGTGCCAAATCTAACAGGGACACTCGAACTATTAATCAACCTATTTTGTGAGCATGGGCCAGAAACAGAGCTCGTTGTGGTCAAGCCACAATATTTGTATTACGCCCTCTCCTCTCATGCCTTTCTGATCTCACCTTTACACCCCTCAACTATTGGGTTCGAGGTAAACAACGATGGTGATGTCTCCACTGTCGAGATATCTCGTGAGAAAAGTGTCACCGGCTCAAACAGGCTATCAGACGCTGTCTTCCTATCGTTGTTGAGGAACTTCGCTCTAGTGAGTTATCACATCTAGTTGTATTAACTTGGCACTCATAAATCGATTTCCTACTTAGTCTCTGTCCGGTTACTTCGTCTTCAACTCCTAACTGATAATGACGGAATTACACCGTCTGAAGCAGCGGAATCAAGCCGTCTTCGAGGGTCAAGCTGTTCCTGCGAAGACGATTTATTGCAACCAACCTAAGACCGCGAGAGCGACTCCTGTAACTCCTCCACCCAGTATTTCGCCGGTTCTTAGACGACTGTCAAAATTACGAACCTACGACATCTGACAATGACTTCGTACTGAGACTCTGGGAACGATGTCCGATTGACTACACTGTCGGGGCTGACCTAGCGGAAGAGGTGCGAACGGTGTTCGATACTAAGACATACCCTTAGATAAGCTGATGGAGGCCATCGATTCGCTATCATAGAGTTTAAGATTGGAAAGGTGCAATACCCCATGGATGTGAGTGGGTCAGAGCTATGGCGACCAGAGCAGGCCGTGGATGGAGCGCCGATCTTGGAAGCAGTCAGAAAATGGAGAAGATTATGAGAGGATGGTGAATTTCAGACTTTTTAAGGTATAGTATCATGATATAACCGGATCTATTACCTAGATTAAAACGATGCACGACGATGCGATGAGAGTACGAGTAATTGGAGAGTAATGGAAGCCTCGCTTTTTTCGTGACCTCGAAGTTGAGAAAAGATGATGATGACATCGATGAGATGAGTTTGGCGTTCAGTTTCTTACTACTTAGGAGTAGGCTGCCCCCCTCCTTTTGCCTGTTAGATGCTAGAAGGCACAGTTAATACATTGAGCCAGAAACACGAAATCAACGAAATGATGTGACAAATAAAGCGGTTCTAAAACTTTTGAACATCGACTCTCCTCCACTGCTTCGCCTTCTCCCTCCACCTCTTCCTCTCCCTCCTCGTCCCACCCTCACCCCGTTCTCGTTCACCCTCTCCCTCCATCTCTCCATCCCGTTCGCGCTCACTCCCATTCCTCCCCCTCCCACTGTCCCCCTCCCTCCCTACCTCCCCGTCATCTTCCTCCTCCCAAACCTCCACCCCCTCCGCAGCCCACTCCCGTCTCCGATCATCCTGCTCGTCCCCTCCCTGTCCCTGCCCTTGCCCATGTGCCTGTCCCTGCGCTTGTCCCCTCCGATACCCAATGACGAGTCCACGCAAACCGTCCCACCGCCCGTTGGGCTTTGGATTCTTGGAAGCGCGTTGGAAGGCGGCGAGGTTGTGTGCTTGGCGGAGTTGGGTGAGGAGGCGGGTGAGGAGGGGCGTTGGGTGGTTTTGTTCTTGGATGGAGGCGGAGGCGGAAGCGGGGTTTGAGGTGGAGGAAGAGGAGTGGGAGTTGGAGGTGGAGGTGTGCGAGGAGAGGTGGGAGGTCGAGGGGTGGACGTCCATCTCGATCGTCACTTCGTTCGTGTTCGTATTTGCAGTATTCGACGGCGGCGTCGTTCGACGACGGAGACGGAGGAGGGAGGAGATTCGGGACGTAGAGGAGGCAGAAGCGTCTGGTGACAGCTCATCCGATCTGTGGGATGACCCACGTCCTATGAGAGCCTGTTGCATCTTTTTGCGCCTCTGCATCCTCAACCTCTTCTGTCTCTTCCTCATCTCCTCCACCTCTCCTTCCCACATTCCACTTCCCACAAACCACCAAAATCCTGTCCAGCTCTGCCAGAGCAGGATGCACCAAACCACATTCGGGAGCCATCCCAACCTATCCTCCTTCACCTCCAAATAGTTCACCGCCGTCCCCGTCACCGCTAAGAATAGACTGATGATTCCAAATCCCAAGGCGGTTTCGTCCCCTTGGTGTCTCCAGGCTCGTTGACGGTTGAGGTAGAGAGACCAGATGAGAAGGCCTACGGTGTAGAGGAGGGTGAGGGTGGAGTTGCAGATGACACGGATGGCATCACCGAGGTCGACGATGGAGGGGATGGAGGAGAGAGAGGTGAAGGAGAGGGAGGCGGAGATGAGAGCGAGGGGCACGAGGAGGGAGAGGATCAGACGGGCTTCGAGGGTGGAGGGGAAGAGGAGGGTGAGGAATTGGATGTGTGTTGACTGGTCGCCGTCAGTTAGAAAAAAAGGAAAGGAACGATGGAAGAGAGGTCAGACGAACATGACATGCGAGTGCTACGGCGCCTTGCAGAGCTTCCCAACTTATGAGTTGGATCCCATCCCACAAAGCCACACCATCGTCGTCTGTGGGTGGAATATCGACTTCGACGTAGTCAAACATGAATGGCCACTCGTGTCCTTTCTTCCTCAGACTGTTGAACAAGAGTCCCAAGCTGGTGCCGACGCTGGAGAGGGTGATGGTGACTGCTGCTATTTGGAGCCACCAGTTGGCCCTAGAGATGGGGATGTGGGT